CATTGAGCTGTATTTGTTCAGTTTTTTTCCGTGTTTCTGGTGGGAATGTTGTACAAAAATGGAACATTTTTGTTGAAAACGGCCAATTTTTGTGATGTATGTACGCTATAGGTGCGGTAGAGGCATTTGCATAGTGTTTGAGGGGGTTCCTGTGCACGTGTGGATGGTTTGGTGCGAAAAAAAGAAAGGATTAGCAACATATGTGGGGGAAAAGTTGCTCTAGGGCCAATTTCGTGGGTTCGAGACCCGCCGCGAGCATCTTTTTTTCTTTTTTTTCTCTTTTTTTCCTTTTTTTTTGGCGACTCGCTACTCTTTTGTGCCTTGCCGCGGGCGTTCCGAAGCTGTTTTTCTTTTTCTTTTACTCGCTCTCAGTCAAAAGTTATGGAGGGACAACCAAAATCGGGTCCTTGAAAATTTCCACTTTATGCGTGTGATCGTCATCGGATGCTGCAGCTAGGAGCTAGACAAGTTGCTAGATTTCCCCAGATTGGCTATTCCTGCCTCAAACTGTTGAAGGGTGGCTTGGCCTCGGGCGGTGGGCTCTGCTATAGCTTCTGCTCGCCGCTGTAACTCCACATCGGGGGACCCCCACAGGATGACCAGGGTATCTGCTTGTAGCTACGGGCTGGCCCCTCAATTCAAGCTACACAGCAAGCTCCACCTCTCAGCAGTAGTCCAGCTGCAGCGCATCGCGCAATCTCGCTCTCAATCAGATGCTTCGCTCTCAATTTCACCAATATGCTGTTAGTAGTAGTTGCATACAAATATATCAAGTCGTCGTTCGGCCTGGTTCCGCAACAACAAAAAAGTAAAGTCGGTCGTGGTGTCGGTTGTTGGTTCTCTCAAACAAACAGGAAATGAATGCCGACACCGCGGGACGGACCCACCCCAACCACACACACGCCCAAATGCGAATGAATGCACGGAAGGAACAGCTCGAAAACGGAATCAGACATAGCCGCGCGTTGCCGGGGTATTTAAGCATCGACTGTAGTGTAGCAGAAGGGAAGGCATCCGAGGGCGACAGATGGTGGCCGGAGCGACGGCAAGGCGATCGGCGGAGAGAAATTCACGACAAAAAACAAAAGGAGGATCAGCCTACGCTACAACGCAGATAGCGAGCGGTTGTCACAACCACGTACATACATGCTACATCAATCTCATCGGATGGATGTCTTTTCTGTTGTGATCATCGATCTGGTGGATGCCGTTCCGCGTGTTGTTTTTGTTGGAGATCCGTACTGTAACAGCAAAAGCAAGTGGACGGGTAAACAGCGATCGAAAGAGGGTAATTGGGACGGGCCGGCAGCTAGGAAAAGTCAAGGTCGGGTCACGGTGTAACCTCTGATTTCGGCCCAAGAATACGGCCGAGTCCCCCTTTGCTAAAGTACTTATATGCGGGTTGTACCCCGAGTTTTCGCATATTCCCTCCATCCCTTCCCTTCCCCCCTTCCCTTGGACAAATAGCACCAACCGAAGCTGCTCCAGACGAGAGAATGGAGTACGCCTCAGCTTTTGTGATCGACGATGTAATGCACCACTCAGACCTACCACACCGCTTGGTTGTTTCCTCCTCGCTCAAAAGAAATCTTGCATACCCACACCCACAGCTAACAGGCAGATTTCGCGGAGTACTATTATTTTGTTGCCGCCTTCCGGCGCGTGTTGATTTCTATCCGGGGGGGGGGCGTGAAGCAGAATGATACCCCCTACCACGATTCGCATTCACGGAGCACCACGTTTGTTCTGAAGAAATAGACCTATGTGTCTTTACCACGGGGAGTTTCGTCAAGCCGAGTGTCTTTAATGCGGGGACGACTGTACTTGCCCTACAGAACGCGCCACCACTTAAACTTAGCAGTTCAGAACCTGAGCCTCACAAAATCCAATATCAGAGAATTTCGCAGCAAGAAAAAAAGGTGCCACGGTCTGACGACGTGGTATTGGAAGAAGAAAAGTAACTAGAAATGGGTATCCGCGTGGCATATCACCATGTCAGGGTACACTCAGAAATCAAGACGCATGCACCCCGAGGCAGCCAGCTGATTGGCCGAAATACCATCGTACCCACTTCTTCTGGAGAAAGCTCTATCGGGCACAACTGCCGCTGTCATCTCGACCCTCCGGTGTAACCGATGCGGGTTACTATTGTCCCCGGAAGGGGTCGACTTTGTACCCAGAAGTGGTCCTACAATCCTTGCGCCCGACGGCTCGAAAACCCGCAGAAAAAAACGTGTACCGCGCATCCCCGGACAACACACCATGTACCGCACATACCCCACGCATATCAGCAGTAGTACACAATACAACCGAACCACCAACGCTCGCTGATGGGCTCCGCATCCCGAATGTACCAATCTCCGACCGCCTCCTCCTCTGTAGATCGCGGCGAAGCCAAACGACCGTGTCCTGTGCCTCTCCGTTAGCACCACAGCGAGCAACCTCGCGCGTCGAGCGAGTTCGACCGTCTGTCGAAGAGCCCACCAGTCAAAAATACGCAAAAGTACACGGAATGTTGTGCGGGTATGCGTGGACACGTTTTTGTCTGCGGGTTTTCGAGTCGTCGGGCGCGAGGATGATTGACCTTTTCTGGCTACAAAATCGACCCCTTCTGGGTACACCAGTGAGCAACATCGGTTGCACGGGAGGTTCTCGAGATGCCGCTGGCTACCTGGGGGTACCTGGGGTGCATGTATTTTGTTTGCTGAGGGTACCTTAAGATGGTGATGTTCCGCCTGGGTTACGCGTTTTTGGTTACTTCCCTTGAAAGAACAAGATCCGCCGTAGTGGTGTACCAATGCGAATACAGACAAAAACGAAGCCCCCAATTCATGGCGGCAAGACAAACACCCAGGATGGTGGGAGGAGCCCCCACAGTAGTTAGTTTCAGATCTTGATTCGGCGCGGGAGGAGATCTCGTAAAATATTGCTTGTACGTGCGGAGGGGGGGTACTGAAAGCCGTGCATTTCGTAGCCAATGGACCGTTGACCTCGCATCCCTACAAAACTGGGACGGAGCACACCTGACCAGGCGCTCGAATTGCCAAACGCAAAGCGCCTCGAGGTACTCGGCGAGTCGGAGGGGGGGGGGGGGGGGG